CCTCGGGGTGCTGCCAGGCTCTAGCGAAACAGGGCTCCCACAGGCCTGCACGGAGCCCCTGGGCGGGCACTTCTGGGAAGTCCCTCACTACGTCCCACTGGCTCAGCTCTTCCTCATCCTCGGGGAGGCCCTTGAGTTCCCACTTTCCACTCTCGTCCATACCGAAGCCGGCGGCACAGAGCGCAGCCTCCTGAGCACTGTGTGCGCAGCGCCGTCGGAAGCGGGCCCGCTCAGGCACGCGCCCGACCGACTCCACCAGCTCCCGCGGCCAGAAGGCCCTCGCCAGTCCGTAGCCGTGGAGGCTGGCATCCGACTGCTGCACCATCGGGTTCCAAGGCAGCCACCAGTCTGACTCCAAGAAGTACATCAAGGAGCTGAAGGCGGCCAGCTCACGCCGCGCCTCGGCCCATAGCACGGCCGCGTCGTCGTAGTGCGCCCGCACGAAGCCATATACTGAACTGAAAGCTGACAGGGTGCCGCGCGAGCAGAGGCCGCAGAAGGTCAGGTGGCCCAGCACGGCCTCCACTGCCCAGCCTCTGACTCGGCGGCGGGCAAGAAGGCCTCGCACGGCCTGGCGGCAGCGCCAGAACCGATCACTGGTCACCCGGGTGCGCAGCTGGCTGCCGTCGATCTCGGTGCCGAGCGCCACCGCCATGCCCGGCACCAGCTCGTCCTTGTGCAACAGCAGGTTCAGCTCGGTGAACTCGCCTGTCAGCTGGTCCATCACGCCACTCACGAGCTCGGAGAAGAGCGAGAAGACCCCCAGGTTGTCGACGTAGACGTAGTGCCTGATCTCCCGGGGCGCCCTGTCAGGCGCGAACACGAGCGGCGGCCCATGGTCCGAGAGACCAGGCTCCCTCAGGGGCGGGCTGCCGCGACGGCTGACCTCCTCGTTGGCCCGCTGGGCGAAGTAGAGCGACCAGCTGAAGCCCATGGGCAGCACCTGCCAGCACGGGTAGATCGCCGTCGACGCCTGCGCCTTGGCCCCTCCGACCTCGGTCACGCCGAAGGCCCCCGCCTTGACAGGAGGCAGGCAGAAGTACCGCGAGAGAGCTGAGTCGATCCGCATTCGGTGAAAGCAGTCTTTCACGTCCGCCATGCCGATGTACACCTGCTGCGCCTCCAGCGCGGCGTCGGAGGTCCCTCGTTGCGAGGCCCCCCCGGACTTCATCTGCAGGTGCGAACCCTCGATTCCTGGCGAGGCCCTCCTGCTCAAGAGCTCCCCCCCAGGGGAATCCCCTGAAAAATAAAAAAAAAAAAAAAAAAGAAGAAAAAAAAAAAAAAAAACAAAAAAAGAAAAAGAATGAAACAAAAAAAGAAAAAAAAAAAAAAAACTATAAAAAACTTAAAAAAAGAAAAATAAGATAAAAAGAAAAGAAAAAAAAAAAGGAGGCAAAAAAAAAATAAAAAAAAAAAAAAAAAAAAAAAAAAAAAAAAAAAAACAAGTGGGCGTTCGCACGGCGGGCGCGGACTATGGTCGAAGTCGTCCGCCGCCCTCCTTGCCACACAAAAAAACGCCCGATTCTCTCTCCTTCGGTGGCTAGAGTCCCCCCCAGCATGCCAGCCAGACGCTAGCTGGCGCACCAGGCCGCGGTACTCCTTGTGGTTGAACTTAAGGACCGAGTCGAAATACGGCTCGACGTCGGTCGGCAGCGGTGCCGGTCGTAGCATGCGCTCATGGCGCTCCCGCAGGAAAGTAAGGGCCTCGCCAGGCAACAAGTCCTCGAGACGCGGGCAGTCCCACACGTCCGTCGGCATGCTGACGAGCCCTGCACTGTAGGAGGCGACCGTCGTCGGGCCGCCGCGCCCGTCGTGGGGCGAGCGGCCCCGCAGCAGCTCCGGGAGGGCCGCTTGCGGCTCGTGCAACTTGGCGACAACATCGCAGCGCTATTTTTTCCATCGGGCCCACGCCGCCCATCCCTTCGTTGGCGACAGAGCACCGCTGGCGCGGCACCAGCCTCCTGGTCATCACCCCATCTAGAGGGGGACCGTCCTAGCCCATCTCTCTGGGCGGACACGAGGCGGCCGGAGGGGAGCAACCCATCGCTCCGGCCCATCAGGGTGGGTTGGGTGGGGATCACTGTGGGCTCAAGCCAAAATGCCCACGGATCCACACCCACCCAACCACCCTGCTAACTGCTTCGCTCGCTCCGTTGCCCCTTCAAACATGCTGTTTTCTACGACAACATCGCAGCGCTATTTTTTCCATCGGGCCCACGCCGCCCATCCCTTCGTTGGCGACAGAGCACCGCTGGCGCGGCACCAGCCTCCTGGTCATCACCCCATCTAGAGGGGGACCGCCCTAGCCCATCTCTCTGGGCGGACACGAGGCGGCCGGAGGGGAGCAACCCATCGCTCCGGCCCATGCCGCCACCTCCGCCGAAGGGGGCGCCCGTTTCGCGCAATGCTTGCACAGATCGCCTGGCTCCTCAGAGCAGCTCATCAGTCGAGCTTGGCCGTTGCCTCGGTGCCACCAGCCGCAGAAGGCAACGCAGGGATCCGAAGCCAAGTGCACCTGTCCCTCTCGGCGGCCGCCACGCTTGGTCGTGCACTTGATGAACGCGATGCCGCCGGCCAGCTTCGCCGTGTGCTCCTTCAGTATCTCGTCCACTCTCGACGACAGGCGGCTGTGCTCCTCCTGCGGGGTGGCCACGGCTGTCGAGGTGGACGCCGCCCTCTCCTCTAATGCAGCTCGCGCAGCACCCGCGCCAGCGCGTTCCTGCTCCTCAGACATGGCCGGTACTTTGCGTTTGGCCTGGATTTCCTGCGCCGCCTGTTTCAGCTCCAAGCCTTCTGCCGTCTGCCGGGCCCAAGCAGCTGAGGCTGCCAAGGGGCTCTCCCGTATGTACGACAATATAGCAGAGGAGCCCCACCGGCCGAAAAGCTGGATCTCCCATATCTCCACCCCAGACATGGCCATCCTGACAGCGCCAGAAACCCGCGGGGAGTGGCCCGTGGGGACCACCTCCAGCCCGGCAGCGCCGACGACCCTGGTACACGCCCGAACCATGCCCGCCTTGGAAGGATGGGCGCCGCCAGCCGTGGGGAACAATGGCCAATCGCATCGGGCACCCTCGGCCCGTGCGGACCCAGCAGTCGCCGCCGCAGCCGCAGCACGCCGCAAATGCAGCACTGGGCATGCCGCTGGGCAAGCGCACCCGTGCGCGCGCTGTTTCCCCAGCGCGCTCTGGTCGCTCTTCGAGACTGGCAGGTCGAGCGTTGCTGTCCCGCAGCAACCGCGAGGGCCAGGAGCAAACGATGCGGCACCGAGCTTCGCCGTAGAGCCTTCGATCTCACGCATAAGCCAGAGGGTGAGGACAGCGAAAGCCAGATATGGCTCGAGAGGTTCCTCCGAGCCTTGAGGGCCACATGGCACGGCCACCGCTGTCTCCGGCGCCGCGACCTTGTCGAGGCCCACGAAGGGAGCTTGTCTGGGCGGCCCCAAGCCCCGTTTACAACTGCGTTTGGCAGCGGCCATTTCCAAGCTGAGTTGGTCCGTCCACGCATGCCCCAAGCGAATGTGTTCCTGCTTCATCGTCTGAAGGTACGTGACCGCGCTGCGGTAGCCAGCGGCCTTCAAAAGCGCTGCGGCGTACCCCAATAACGCAACAGAGAGCGGGTACGGCTCCACCTCCTTGGCCCATGCGCGCCTCCGCCACCACCGAAGACGAGCCTCTCTCGAAGCTGTCGTCGAATCCGCGTACTTGCCCCCCTCGTAAGCCGAGATCGCGGAATGCAGATCGGCAGGCTGGCGCTCCAAAGCCATAACTTTCTGAGGGGGGCCCCTGGTACACGGCCTCCTGCACGGCGCCCCCGGCCTCGGCGGCCCGCAACTCCCGGAAGATGCCGAGGGCACAAGTACTTCGTCATGAGCTGGCGGCCGTACTGCCTGAGAAGATGCCCCCTCCACCGGGCCGGCTGGGGACGTGACCGCGCTCGCACTCGGGCAAACTCCAAAAGTCGAACTGCGTCCAGGGATACTTCCACGCCCACGTCCAGAATCGATCAACGCCATGCCCTGCTCCGCAGTCGCCAGCGACAAGCCATGCAGCGCAGGCTCCGGCGCCCTCCGCCTGGGGTGGACACCTTGCCGCACCTCCGCACTGCGGCCAGCGCTGGCGGAGGGGGCGGGGAGAGGGGCGTCCCATGACGTGGCGGGCTGCGCCGGCGGCGCCGTCGCCCTGGGCGCCGCCGCCTTGGCATCCAGGGAGCCGCCCGGCCAGCGCGCCATCCGCGTCGAAGACCGCCAAGGGCGCGCCCTCGAGCCTTGAACCGAACAGCACGAAATATGTCCTGCCAGGAACACCTGAAAAGGAACACAAAACAACTCCTCCGACTCTTCCGCGCCATCCGCCCCCCCACCCACCCGCCACCGGAGCCGACGGTCGGAAACCGCGACGCCAAGACGGCCGGCCCGCGTCGCGGGGGCGGCGCAGCGGGGGGGGCCAGAAGAGGGGGGGCCCGGAGGGCAAAGGAGGGGAGAGGAGGGAGGACGGAGGGGAGGGAAGGGAGGGAAGAGGAAAGGGGGGAGGAAGCAGCAGCAGGAGAGGAGGAGAGAAGGGGTGGCGAAGTTGGTCCGCCCGCTCCTCGTCCTGCGCCACAACGCACTTGCGCATGCTTCTCGGAGAAAGCAAATCGCACCACGTGCGAATTCGCCTGACGAATAACCGCCCCAATTTCCGCCCCTCCCCAGGGGCGGAAATTTGGGCAGTTATTCCTAAAACGAATGTACACACAAGTATGCGTGCACAGTTTCGACCCCAGGAGCTTCGCACGAGCGCGGGGCCCGCGCCCAGGTTCAGACCGCGAACCTCCAGGGAGGGCGTCTGCCCCAGACTCGGGCGCAACCCCGGAAGCTCTCGGCGGGGCGCTTTTGAAACACCACACACACACCACGCACGCGAGAGGACGTGCAAGTGGACACATGTGCGGGCATATTTTCCTCCCAATGAATGACACACAGTACGCTCAGCAGCGCTGACGCAGCGCGTCATGGACGCTCAGCGGCTGACACAGTGCGTACAGGCGCGCCCTCGGCCTGAAATCTTGGTCTGCAGCACTCGCAGACCCAGGTCCTCCACCTGCGGGACCGTGGCCTGCTCCGCCCCGGCGAGAAAGCGGGGGGAGTGGCCGTCGCAAGAGACCCGGCTCAGCGCGTCCGCGAGCTTGTTCTGCTCCGCCCAGATGTGGAGGCCCTCGAGAGCATGGCCCAAGGGGGCCAGGTGGAGGGCGAGCTCCTTGGCCACATCGATCATGATGGCCGAATCTCCACGTAGCTGGACCAGTGCTGCCAGGACGCCTTGCGCGTCACCCGCAAAGGTGATGCGCCCCAGGACCTCTGGTGAGATCCACAGCTTTGCTGCGAGGAGCATCGCAAATGCTTCCCGCGACGCCCGGCCAGCCGGGCTGCCGACCTGCGCGTGCAGGAGCTCCTCGTGCGTGTGGTCCCATGTCACAGCAAAGTACGCGCGCGGCGCTTCGCCAGCTCGGCGGGCCGCCGGCGATGCCCAGCAGCACCCGCCGCCGCCCCAAGGCGAAGCGTCAGTTTCAACGTACAAGCCGTCGTGGAGTCTGTCGACGAGGTAAACATGGCGCGTCAGATGTAAAGGCGCGTCCGTTGCGAAGGCGACCAGCCATCGCAATGCCGGCTCCACCTGCTTGCGGAAGAGGACGGGCGGGTTGCCCTTCCGAGCCTTGGATAGAGCTCCCCAGAGATGCCGGACAAGCGGTCGGACCTGGGGAAGCAGGCCGCCGATCCAGCCTCCGCGGCCGGCCAGCTGCCTCACCCTGGCGACGGGGGGCACTGGCTTCCGCTCCTCCAGCAGGTCGGTGCACGCGCCCCTGACCAGCTCCAACTTCTCCTCAGGTAGCGACACGCTCACGCGGCGCACGGCCGTGTCGGCCTGGATCGCGGCGCCAATCCACGAAACTGAAGTGCCAAAGCTGACCTTCTTCCAGGAGACCCCGAAGCCGAGGGGCTGCCACAGCACAAGTATCTTAGCGAATTCTCTCCGCACTGTGCGCAGCGAGCCAGACATAGTCAATATAGAGTCGTCCACAAAACACTGAATGCGGCCCTTCTTCTCGCTGAGCGTCGCCTGCGTGAGGCGCATCAGTGCTGCCGCGACGCGGCCCCAGACCAGCGGCCCAGTGCCAACTCCAAAGAACACCGTGTCATACACAAAATACCCCCCGCAAGCGTAGCCTGCCAAGTGCTTATTTTCCCTTGGGTCCGTTCTCAAGAGCTTGAAAGCGTCTTGAAAATCAGCGACCAAGTAGTACACCTGGTGGGGGTCCTGGACGCGCGCGAACGTGTCCAAGGTATCCTGAATGACGTCGTGGAGCCGTGGCAGAACCAAGCGCTCGCGGAGAAGGATCTTCGAATTGACTCTGCTCCGCCTCAGGTCGTGGATCAGACGGCACTTTCTTGCCCCGGCCTTCGCGGTGATGACGGCGCCGACGCGGGGCAAGGTGAGCGGGCCGTGAATCGCCTCCAAGGCGCCCCGGTCTTGGCGCCACGTGGCGTACCCTTTGTCCAGCTCCTTCTGGAACGCGGCGTCGGCCTCCTCCCTGTTCTCCTCGTAGCTTCTGTAGTTTACCGGGTCGCCCCGGTCCACGCAGTGCTGGAGGAGGGCGTCGAGCTTCTCCCTGGCCGGCCCCACAGAGGTGGGCTCGGTCTCCGGGAAAACGCCGGAGGGCAGAATCGGCACCTCGATCCCGAGCGGGGCGTAGCGCTGCAGCCACTGAGGAACCTGCGTCTCCGGATCCCCCGCCGCAGCCAGAATGTCCTCCAGCATCTCTCCCTGGGGGCCCTCGCGGTCGTGGTGCCTCACCCCCAGGCGGGCCGCAAGGGCCGCCTGCCCGCTCCGCGCGGCAGCAGGAGCGAGGCCTGTCGCCTCTGGGCGGCCCAGCTCCTCGACCACCCTGTCGACGGCGTCGCACAATCCGCCGGCGACGTCTTCGAGGGCAGCGGCGATCTGAGCGCCGAGCGCCGCCCAGCCGGGCAGCTTCCCCACGCCTCTGCGCGGGTTGCGGAGGCCGCCGATGCACGAAGATGCCTCTCTCCCGCCGCTGTCTGGCTGTCTCCTGCTGCGCGGCGTCCTCCTGCCCAGCGAAGACGTCGTAGGTGGTGGGCTGCTTCGCGGCCAGGTCCGGCTGCTTGCTGAGTTCGGCCCTGTACGCAAATGCCAGTGCGCTGCAGAGCCCTTCCGGATAAGACGGCGCCAGTTGAGTCTTCCACGCGGATCCGCCCGCAGGCCCAATGCACCTCCCGCCGAGGCTGGGGTGCACGTGCACCGGGGGCCCCGGGCACCTCTCGGCGAGAACGCCAAGGAAGGGGGCGTTCGTCAGCCAGCCCGTCGGCTTCCTGTACGGGCAGCCGAACATGCACTGGTCGCACACCACCCGCACGGCACCGGCAATGCGCAGCAGGGAGGCGACGGGCCCGCACTGCCAAGCGCACGAGGCTTCTGGATTCTCAAAGGAGAACCACCCGCCAGCCTTGGCCTGGGCACGACACAGCCTCGCCGCCCTGGCAACCAAGGTGTTGCTGTCGAGCACGTGCTGCGGCTTTGGGGTGCCGCTGGCGGGGCGGGCGCGCCTGCCGGTTCTCCGCGCCTTCGAGAAATCCGCGCAGCGCGGTGCCACATGGAGCCATCGCACTCGCCGCTGCCGAATCAGGCTGAGAACCCGATGATAATGATCGTGATTCAGAAGGTCCAGAACCTGGTCGCGGAGGCCCGCCGCGGCCTCGAGGCACTGCGCCGTGAAGTGATCAAGATGCAGCCGCGCCACAGCCGCCGTGAGCCCGCCGCCGCGCCCAACGAGCTCCAGGAACTTGGGCCTCTCGCGCGGCCCCGGAGGCCGCCTCCGCGAACGGCTCGAACCGGTGCTCGGGGCCCTGGATCGCCCCCGGGTGCGGGCACTCACCCGCGCGCCCCAACGAGCTCGATGCGCCAGTCTGCGCTGTCCGCCGGGCGCGGCTGCGAACGGCGAGCCTCCGCCAGGCGTCACGCGCGCAGATGGGGCGCGTGAGCCCGAATCATCATCTTGAAGTGGCCGTGCTTGTAAAAGTACTGTGGGCGCCGTTTCGGGCGCCCGGGGCCCCGGCGCAAGCCCCTCCGGAGCGGGGCCCGGCGCGGGCGCCGAACCATCTCACTTCTTGCGCCTCTTGGCCCCCCGGCTGGCCGCCGGCGGCGTCCACCCCGGATGCTTCTCACAGCGGATGGTGCGGTGGGGCGTGCGGCAGAACTCGCACGCGTGCGCCCGCCCCTGTGGGCACGCCTTGCTGGAGCAACCCTCCTCGTGCTGGGCCCAAGCGTAGCATATTTCCACATTGTCCACTGACCGGTAATAGCGCCCATCGGCTCGTTGAGCATTGGGTCCCTTGCCACGTGGATCAATGCCCTTGGTGTCCTTCCTGTCGTTGGCTTTACCCCTGCCGCCGCCCTTCTTCTTGTTGCTGCCCTGCTGCGGCGCCGCCGTGAAGGGCGGCACCTGGGTGTAGGCCGTCCGCTGAACGGGCACCGTTGCCGAACCGTCCCGGGCAGCCTTGTCGCATGGCTTCTCCAAATGCTTGTACCAAAAGGTTTTGTCCTGGGACACAGCCCTCAGCGCAGCGTCCCATGGCATCTTGGGGTTCCAACTGGACAAGGTGGGCGACTTCTCGTGGAAACGCTCCAGTCGCCGGCGCTCGTTCGCAAGCTGCTCCGACCGCGCCAGAAAATCCGCAGCCAGTGTCAAGTGCCAGCACCCCGGATTGTCGAGGACGCGCTGGCGGAACTCAGCCGCGTACAAAGTCAAAGTGGCCTGCTGGAAGGCCCCCAATGAGAGAACAGCTGCCTTGTAGACCTCGTACGAGTCCTCCCAGATCTCCAGGGATTCTGGCCCGGGGATTTCCTGCGTCCGCCACTGGCCAGAGGCGTCCATGAAGCTCGCCTTGAATTTCATGTGGCGCTGGAAGCGGTTGCCGTTCGGCCCCCACACGCCGAAGTCCGCAAACGGCACGAAGCCGGCCTCCAGCCGCCGGCCCAACGCCGATATCTGCTCGTCGGTGTAGTTGTGGCGACCCATGGGCTCATCCCCCATCAAGACTATGTAATTGTTCCGGATCTTCTGTAGTTGGGCGTGGCTGTAAAGCTCCACCTCGCCCTTCAGGCCCTGGTCGAGGACCGCGGACAGGTTCACCAAATTAGCGGCGTGCGGCGCCGCCGCCGAACCCGGGGTTGCCGCTGCCGCCGCCTGCGGTTGAGGCGGCTCTTGATCGACCGGCTCAAGGTGCAACCCAAACTTCCGGCGGAGGGCGTTGTAGAGGAGGTTGAGGCGGCCCTTCTGGATGGCCGTGAGGCGTTCGCCAGCCTCCCTGCCCTCCCTGTCGACGCGGGCCTTCGCGACGGCAGACCGCACCGCTGACGGCGGAAGCGACGCCAAGATTGGCATCGAGGTGAGGTCAGGGTCCCCGAGCTTCGTCAAGACGCTCTTGAGTGCGCCCAGCTCCAGCCCTGCCCAAGCCCGCGCCGCCTCAATCTCGGTCCACTGCTCCATGGCCTCGACCGACGGCAGCACGCCCAGGGACACCATCTCGTGCGAGAAGCCGTAGAGTCCTCAAGGGACGAACCAAACTACGAGGGACCACCAGACCAACCAGCACGGTTCCAGCACCACCACCCCGGGGCGCAGCCACGAGGCAGAGGGGGTGGTGCTCAAAACCATGTTGGCCGATCAGGTCCAAGTAGTTCGTTTTGTCCCCATTTGGGGCTTGGATCGGGATCCGCCGATTGGCGCCCAACCACCCCCCTAAGTCCAGGTAGTTGTCGAAAGTCCTCAAGGAAAGAACCAAACTACCAGTAATCACATGTGTCGGTCAACACGGCTCGTGCACCGCCCCCCCCCCCACAGCAAGGTGAGGGTGGGGTGGTGCACGAAACCATGCCAACCGACCTGATCACGTGGCTTGATTCTTACCCAAATGTTGGGATCAGATCGGGATCCGCCCAAAGGCGCCCAATCTCGCTTCCCCCCCTAAGCCTGCCAGCACTCCGGCCCGAAGGCATCCAGAGTCTGGGTCCTATAGCTGGGGGGTTGGCCCTCAGCGGGCCCGTTAACCCCGTAACTCAGCCCCAGCCTCAGCGGCTGTAGGGATCCTGAGCGTGGCCCTCAGCGGACCTAGACACCCCCCCCGCCCAGCCCCAGCCTCAGCGGCTATGGGGATCCTGAGCCGGCCTCTGCGGCCCACCCCCAACTAAGGGGTCCCGCGCCGGCCGCGTGGGCCAACAGTGGCGCGACCCTCAGCGGGTCCTCTGATGGCGAAGACCTGGTGCTTGTCCAGGAAGTAGCAGATGTAGCCAGCGCTGCCGCCGGCGAGGAGAGCGAGACGAGGGCAAGGTCCTACCCCCTGTCCCCCCGCATGCGGCAGTGCTGATCACTGTGGGCTCAAGGCAAAATGCCCACGGATCCACACCCACCCAACCACCCTGCTAACTGCTTCGCTCGCTCCGTTGTCCCTTCAAACATGCTGTTTTCTACATCATCATCACCATGACCATGATCACCATCATCATCACCATCACCACCATCAACACCATCATTACTATCGCCACCATCAACACCATCATCACCACCGCCATTACTACCATGACCATGACCATGGCCATGGCAATGGCTATGGCCATGGCCATCACCATCCCATCACCATCACGATCGCGACCACCATCACCATCACCATCATCATCACGATCACGATTGCGATCACGATCACCATCACCATCCATCACCATCACGATCATCATCATCATCATCATCATCATCACCATCATCATCATCATCATCATCATCATCATCATCATAATCATCATCATCGTCATCATCATCATCATCATCATCATCTTCGTCGTCGTCGTCGTCGTCGTCATCATCAATACATGACCCAATTGGGGTGTTCGCATGCGTCCCCGCCACCCGACATGGCACACCACTCACACGTTGCGTGGCCCCATCGGGAGCTCCACATAAAGCCTCAGTGGCGACAGTCGCATGCGTCCGCCCCCACCCAATACAGCGTGTCGTGGCCCCATATGAAGCCCCTCGGAAGGCACTCGCGGCGACGTTCGCATGCGTCCCGCCCCACTGGGTGCAGCGTTTGGTGGCCCCATAGGGAGCTCCACCGAAGGCCCCAGTGGCGACGTTCGCATGCGTCTGCCCGCCCAGCACAGCGTTTCGTGGCACCGGAGGGAACTCCACTGAAGGCCCCAGCTCACATGGGGGGTATACCTGAGGCTTCAGTAACATCGCCCGCATGCTTGCCCCGCCCCATTCGGTACACCCTTTACGCACTTCGTGGTCCCATGAGGAGATTTACCGAAGGCGTACCGAAGGCGATGCCCACAACGGCGATACTCGCAATTGCGTATAGGTGGGTTTTTTGCCCGCATAATTCCTGCTGGTCGGGATTTTTTGTTTGAGTCTTCTGGCTGTTGTTATTGCACCTGGCGGTCCGGGTTTTTCCCAACCATCCTGCGGTATTGGGTCACTCCCCGTTTTGAAAAGACTGTCCCCGCGTTCCTCTCCTTTCCTCCTCCTCTCCCCCCCCGTCCCTCCTCCCATCCCCCCCCCCTCACTTTGGCACGCCCCTTACACGTTTCGTGGCCCCAAGGGAGCTCCACCGAAGGCCCCAGCAGGATCAAGCGCGTCCGGAGCGCACTTAGCAGAAACATGACTTAACTTCGTGCCATTCCGGGCGCGCCGGCTCGTGGCTCTGGTGGTACTCTCTGGCTGCCATGGCCAACATCATATAGTTCCCTGGGGCCCCCGTCCACCCGAACACCATGGCCAGGGAGATAATCCGCACGTTCCCCTCGAGCCCCGCGTGTGCGCTTGGGAGGGAAGTGCCGAAATCGCTGGCGTCGGCCGGCAGAATCTGAATTTACTTGGAGGCCCGAGAGAAATCCCGCTTTGCTTAAGGCATCCCCGGATTCCGCGGTCTGTGCCAGATGGCATGCTTAGCCACCTGCCAATGCTGGGGCTGGACAGCAGGGGGGTGGCCCCGCTTGCTGGTGGCTGCGTTGGCGGACGGCGTCGCGTGGATCATGCGCCCTTCCGTGGATAAGGTGCGGTCAGGTAGCTGCTGAAGCACACTGCCAAGTGGTGCTTCCACCAACTCCGTCAGGAAGCCCTCCGACCGCTGTGACGTGACCAGTGCGATGCCGTAGGCCACGTCCTTCCAAACTTTCTCGTAAGCTTCCTGGAGGTGGGCCCGCGCGCTCGGGTGCGGTTGTGCCCTCTCCTGTACTCGCTGCGATCCACGCCTCGCGGGCGCCCCGACCTCGGTTAGCTCGCGCACGTACTCAAAGTGCTCGCGCCCCAGGCGTGCCTGCACCCGCTCGCTTATCGCATCCTGGAGCGGGTTGCCCAGGCGGTCATGCCGCGTTTTCCGGAGTAGCGTAGCCGCCTCTTCCAATCAGCCCGCGCTCCGCACCAGGCGGTCCCCCAGCTCCACCAGGGTGGCCATCGCCTTCGCGTCGAACTCTGGATGGGCGGTGCAGAAAATGAGGTAGACTGTTGCCAACTCGGCTGGGCTGCGCCCGTCGAAGCTGTCGCTCAGATCCGCTTCCGGGTCCTCGCAGGCCATCTCGGCCTTCCTCTCTTTCGGGGGCGTCCCCGGTGCCTTCGCCTTTCGGCTGGGCCACTCATTCTGCGCCCGTCGCATATGGCTGGCGATGGCCGTCGGCATTTAGAGCCGAGCCTCTCCATCCCAGCGAAATCGACGTCTTGTCGACCTCCCGACGATTTCTGCTGTGGGGGCGCCCCTCGGCCATCCCACAAAAGGCTTTAACTGCCTTTTCAGCGATCCAGCGTTGGTAGGCGCCCTTGAAAGCCTTGGCCCAGGCTGCGCGCAATCGAGGCGCCCAGATCTTGGCCTCCTCAGTCCGCTTGGTACCCGCCCTGGGCACCGCGCCCTTGAGTTCCACGTGCTCGCGGCCCCGCGGGCGCCGACGTGCCGGCAGGGGGGCGTGCGTGCGAGGCGGGGGGGGGTGGCCGTCCACCGGCTTCCCTTCATGTAGCGCCGGGGGGGGTCGTCCGAGGGCCCCTTTCCCCAGGGGCCCATGTGAATCGGGGCCGGATGGCCGCGAGGACTCGATGAGGAACTCCTTTCCCTCATCGAAAAAGGTCTCGCAGATCGCGCGCGTGAGCTGCGTGCGAGCATTCCCGCCGAGTGCCCTGACCTGGGCGCGCCATCAGCCCTGGGTCGACCCGAATAGGACCTTCGGGGCACGCCCCAGCACCGCGCATTGGCGGTATCGGGGCCCGGCGGGGCCCGGCGGGGCCCGCGCCGCCTCGCGGGCCCTCGCCTCAACGGCTGGATCTAGCACGTCGTGCTCGGGGCGGGGGCCCTTCGCTTGCAATGTGTGCTAGTAGTACTCGATGGGCTCCAAGACTTGGAAACCCTCGGCCTTCAATGCGTTGGACCAACCCGCGGCCCTTGCATAGACTCTTGCCCGATGATCCCATGGGCAAATATCGGGTCGAGCCGGAGCGGCTTGGCATCGGCGGCTAGGAGCTTCTCCTGGACGTTGGCCGGGCGCCCGCCGAACGATGCTGGAGCCCGCGGTGCGGACCTCCCCAACCCGCCCCTCCGCCTTCTTGCAGTGAGCGCAAGAGGGAGCTTCCCCGGCACCGTTGGATCGGCGTCGGGCCCTTCGTCGAGCATCTCCTCCCGCCCCGAGCTGGTGAGCTCCCGGGCCAGGTGGCCCTCGCGGGCCCAACGCTGACCCAGCTCGGCCGCGGATGGCCCATCACCTGGGTCCAGTATGCGCACGTGGCCGTTCCAGATTAGAAGGGGGCCGCTGTCTCCTCAGCCCCTGGGTCAGTCCCCAGCAAGTGATCCACGCATAGCTGGCCGGCCCCACTGACGCGATGACCTGCAGGGTAACGCCCTGAAGCTCCCGGAGAAGGCGTGCCACGAGACATCGGTAGTCCTTGTCGCGGTGTGGGTGAAGTGCGTCGCGCAGGTGCGAGCGCGCGTCGGCCTCCACCGCTGTGATCCAGGGGGGGGGCGTCTCCCAGGGCGCGCCTCGCGACGCGCGAGCCCCCCCAGAGCTCGGTCTGTAGTTTAGCGGCCATCTCCCGCACATCTCGCACGTCAGGTTGGTCGCCCGCGCGCGCCCGCGACGCGAGGAGGCCGGCCGCCACGCGCAGCAGTAAGCACTGCCGCTCCTCTGCCCCCCCCCCCCCGAGCCCCCGAGCCTCAGCGTGGCCGCTATGCTAGGCCCCGGCTCCAGGCGATCCCTGTGGCCCCAGAACTTCCAGCGCGCTCGCTGAGGCCCATCCCAGAAGGTGTAGTTGCCGTGCCCGCGACGCCCGTCGCCCGACCGCTGAAAGGGGCCCGCGTCAGCCCCCCACTCTGGGGCTCGGCCCGTTACGCAATTGAGCTCGTCGCGCAGCTAGCTCGCCTCGCTGCTGGGGCCCCGGTGGCCCCTCTCCGCGGCATCCTCGAAGGCTCTCTCGACCGTCGGGCGCTCGCCCCGTAACCTCGCCCCTAGCGCCCGCCCGCGGACGTGGCTCTGCAGGTAGTTGCTGGCGCG